ACAGTCGAACGACCTCATGTCGCGATGTTTTTCGACTTTTCAATCATGGAATGAATAATCCCAAAATGACTGAACTCTTCAGGTAGGTAAATCATGGTGATTTACTGGTGGTTTAATGGTGGTTTAATGGTACAAATGGTGGTTTAATGGGATGTAAATGAGCCATGTTCTAAATATCTTACATCCTGGCACCAAATAAGGAAATGCTTACACCATTGCTTACGTTTTGCTTACGCGCGCACAGGTTTTGCTTACGCGCATATCTTTTCTTACGTGGAGCTTACGCTGGCTTACGCGCACCACAGTTTTGCTTACGCCACACCCTTACAAGGGGCCCCTTGCTTAACATGAACACAAGGGTTTAGAACGTGGCTCAGATAAAGGGTAGGTAAATCATATATATATATATATACACACACATGACTGGTAACTAAATATATATAGGTATAACGGTATAAACTTTTCAGGTAGCTAAATGCCAAACTGATGGATAGGTGTTGATCCCCCATGATCTCGGCCTCCACATCTTCTCCCCGGGCGTCAAGCAGGACCTGGGTGTTTTATGGTGTTTTTGCAGGGAACTCAAGGCTGGGATGTGTGGCAACCATTGGAATTTCAGCCACAAACTGGGGATTTTGAGAACACGGGGATTTGATGATCAATATTGGGATTCAATCAACAATAGTGGATGTACGCAATCGAAGATAGGCAAACCTCGACGATTTTAATCCAAAATTGCAGGGTTTCTAGTAGTGATAGGACATAGGATGCCAGCAACAAACATAAGACACGTTGTTGAATGGTTGGTTGAGGTGAATGATCGGGTGGTGATCAATCTAAAACCATTCCCACCAAACATGAAGCTTTTAAAGATCTACCTCCGGCCCGAAAATTGACATGTAATCAGAAGAAAAAGTTTGTAACACGATTTTCCTTTAAGAATGGCTGTTTTGGAAAAGGATTTGCCTAAATAAATGTTTTGTCAACTACCCATGTCCCTGTAGCTTTGGTGTTTCAACCCCCCCCATTGAAGGGGCAGTTTTTCTGGACCCCTGCCCATCAGTTTCCCCAACATCTCACTATCCATTTGATAGCAGTTATGTGCCGTTATCTCACCACTAGTCAGTAGTTGATGAAAAAAATGCCCCACCAATAGTCATCAATTTCCAGAACATCTACGATTTCTCTGTAAGCAATTGAAAGTCATCTGGATTAGCTTTAATAATTCAACAATCTGCAAAGTTCGGCTATTTTGAGAGTTACCCCCAATCCTCGTAGAGGGCTTCGGCCTTTTTGTTTCGTAAGCAAACAATGTTCTGTTAAAATCCCATGAGCATGTCATTCATTTTCCATTAGTATCCCACTGTATTCCCATGATTTCTAGAACAAAACTCACCACTTCACCAGCTGGTGGTTGAGCCATTCTGAAACATCTGCGGAAACTCAGTTGGGATCATCATCCCATTCCCATGGTTAAAAAGAAGCATCTTTGAAACCAGCAACCACATCATCACTGCTCCATCAAAAAACCCATCATCATCATCATCGTCATCATCCTCATCCTCATCCTAATTTTTTCCCTTTCCATGAGATTTTTGCGGTGAATTGCCACGGAGAACGCCACTATCGATCTGGCAAAATATATCAAACTCGGCCTGTAGCACACTTGAATCATCCACGAGCGACCCACCCGCCAGCCCTGCGTTTTGTCATGACTTTTTCCATAGCAATGCCTCATCCGATGATCTTCATCAATGCATATCAGTAGGTTACTTCCAATTCCTGACCATCATCATTTTCCCATCATTTTCCCAACATAATGGTGATTTGTGACAACACATGGGAATCCACATATTTTTTTACTGGAAAATCATGGAAAAACTATGGGAAAATGCTGATCATCCAATATTTTCATTATGCCATCCTGCCATTTTCAGACAAACCCACCATTCACCAACCATTCACCAGGGCGTCCCGACTGCGGACACGTCCAGGTCGACTTCACCCTGGTCCACGTCCCAGCCGAGACCCACGGTGATGCAGCCCATGCCCTGTGGGAAAAAAACAGACGCTGAGGAAAAGATGGTGATTGAAAATGGCCATTTATAGTTGATTTACCCATTAAACATGGTGATTTTCCATAGTTTTTTGTATGTTTACCAGATCAATGGCCATTTCAGGAACCTAAATTGGAGGTACCTACCATATATAAGGCCTATTTTTGAGGCCTATGTAAGGGAACATCCCAACAATTCATTGGTATATAGTGGTATATAATATACCAGATGTTTGATGGGATTTAATGGTGATTTACTGGTGGTTTAATGGTGGTTTAATGGTGATTTACTGGTGGTTTAATGGTGATTTAATGGTGATTTACTGGTGGTTTAATGGTGGTTTAATGGTGATTTACTGGTGGTTTAATGGTGATTTTATGGTGATTTAATGGTGGTTTAATGGTGGTTTAATGGGATTTACCATCTGGTTATTTAACAGTTCGCCATGGAAAGATCCACCATTTTTAAGTTCGGTAAACTATCTATTTCTATGGGCCATTTTCCATGGCTATGTTCAATAACCAAAGGGTATGTTTTTTTTTTTGGGGGGGGATCATGTGGAAGAATGGTACATGATCCATTTTTTTGGGGATGAGATGGGATAATGTTCTATTGATGTTTGAATGTTTGAATCTAAGGGGATTTAACATATCAGATCATCTCAATAGTGACAGCGTGGCCGAGTCAGTTTATGTGGCCCAGGCCTTGTAGTCCGTATCTATCTATCTATCTATCTATCCATCCATCCATCTATCCATTGATCTATACAGCGATACATGTCATGTAAACACGAACAAGAATGTATCTGGGTAAATTATAGTAATTCACTAACCTGAAATAATAAATAAGGTCATTTAGGGATAGTCACCTTTACTAACCATCATTCCCAGTGAGGTCGCAGTGAATTTTGATGTGCCATGCCGCTTTAGCTTCCCAAAAGGGATGATCTCCAAATCCCATGGGGCGATGGAATGCGATGGAGGCTGGTGCTTTCAAACTAATATCATCTTTCAGTATCTTTCAAAGTCACAAGGGTCACATCCATGCTTTGCCGGCTTTCCCCATATTTTCTTGGTTGTTGGTATCCCAAAAAAACCACCACATTTGGATCAAAGCGTTGGTCTAGGGGAAAACCTTACAGGACACCAGATTGCTTGTACCTTCACCCCAAGAGTTATCCTCCGCTAATCAACCCTGGCTTGCTGGAGAATTCCACGTTGAGTTTGATGGTTTTCCCATTGAAATGGCCATGGTTCGGGGATTTCCCAGCCCGCCACGTCTGACGACGGGCAAACCCATGAATATCTCAGTAATTATATTTCCATTACATTTCCATTATATAGCAAATTTCTTGGTTGAAGACACATCATTGAGTACATTAGTTCCATTATTATTTCCATTACAGTTCCATTACATTTCCATTATTATCTCAGTATATTTCACATTTTTGATACATGCCAACACACCATCCGCCACACCGAAAAGACTTTGGACTCCGCCAAGTCACCAAGGGCATATCCAGCACCCCGCCCTTTTCCATGGCGAAGGCTACCTGACACCAGGGGAATGACGCACGCCCCAGTCCGAGTGGAGGAAGGGAACTGGTCCTTTGTTGTCAAACATGGGATACCGTCTGGTAATTTTACATAGCTATTGAAAATGGCCATAGAAATAGTTGATTTTCCCATTAAAAAATGGTGATTTTCCATAGTTATCTTGGTTTACCAGAGGGTATTCAGCAACAACTGGAAAGGTCAACCACCTTTGATGCATGAAATCCACTGGAATCCTCCACAAACTTGTCATCTTCCAAAAAAGATATCATAGAATGTTCCTTCCAAACACTGTTTCGATGCAATCGATTGATTTAAGGGAGAACTTACACGAAACTATATCTGGTTGGTGGTTGACCTACCCCTCTGATATATGGAAGTATTATTCCCAATATATGGAAAAATAAAATTCATGTTCCAAACCACCAAACAGATATAGTTTTTCCCCCCAACATATCGGGTTTCTTGTGGATTTCCCTCAAATGAATTCAAGGATGTTCACTGATCCGAAAGTGGTCTTCATTGGGATTCAACCAATTTCCGTGAGAAACAGTTGGAACACCATGGGAAAACTGCATCATCAACAATAACCACCAATATCTTGGATAGTATACTTAGTATACCCTCTGGTAAACTAACATAGCTATGGAACATCACCATTCTTAATGGGTAAATCCACTATAAATCACCATTTTCAACAGCAAACTGTTAGTTTACCAGAGGGTAATCAACCAACCGTGATTTGCAATTGATATTCACCAACTTAAAAGGTTTGGGCCGTGTGGGATACTTACCCCATTGATTCACCATCGTTTGCGTCGGTTTATGTCGTGAAATCCCATCGACACGTGGTCGAATCATAATTTCTCCGACCATGAAATATGGCATCATATCCCCATGATATGCGCAAATTATGGTTGTTGAACATCCCATTATAGTCCACCATATCCCCTATCAGATCCTATCATCATATGGGTGTCTGAAAATGGTGTCTGAAAATCCCCCCGAACTGGCCATTTCAATAAGGAACCATGGGATTTCGGCCATTTATTCCCAAAAGTTTAGGAGATAGTCATGAGATGCCATATCCCAGAAAATACTATTGGTTGGTTTTACATGTGGTCCGTAGATATAATCACGCTGAAACTGATACAATGTGTAATTTTCAAAGACATGACCATTCTAGTGAGGACTATATTCTATCTACTCCAGGATGGCTATATATATATATTAGACAAATGGAAAAAGGTACATTTACACATGATTTATGCTGATTTATCTATTAATCAACCCGTGATTTTCCAGCTAGCTACGTTAACGAGTCAGGGGGTGTAAATCCCATAGCGGATGTGGGGAAACCCACAGGGTTGCAGCACCACGGATTTTTTTTCGGCATCAGCTGAGATCGGACGGCTCGCTTGGCGAGGTCGTGGAGGGCCTTGGCATCCATGGGGGGTCACCGAGTCACCGATGCGTGGGGTTTCAATAGGAAGTCATGGTCCATGACTTGGATGATGGGGGTACTCCCCATCTTGATCATTTTATTTTATATTTTATTTGATAGGTAAAGCTGTGTATGGGGACGGATCGAAACATATTAAAACCATTCTACCGAAAACAGCGCGGGGATGACATGGGACATCCATTGCCAGTTGGTGAACTCAGAGGGCGGCGCGACAACAAACAACCGGGGATTGGACAAAGGGGATTGGGGATTGAAGCCCAAACAGATTGAATCAGCAAGGACCTGCTTCAAGAGAAAAAATGGGGGGGTCACGAAGAGATATGTGGCTAAGCGGCTAAAACCAAGAAACATAGGGATTTAAACAACAACAATCGACTTGAAACACCAGAACAAATGGGGATGTCAACATCAGATGCGCCTTTTTTCACCAACAAAACCGGGGATTTCACAACTATCATTCGTGTCCATGGTTAGTTAAGTAGGCCGATACCCAACTGCCACGGTCAGGGATCATCAACGAAAGAGGCTATGGGTGGTGACTTCAGAAATCATTGTTCCATTCGTCGGATCGCGCAAGGGGAATTTCTTCGCTCCTGAGAACTGCACTGCCCAACGATGGTTGACACAAGTGGTTTCGCACAGGAAAACCATCTCAAATCGAGCAATTGTACACTTCAAAGCTGGTTGACGAAAGCTTTCATGGTAAAAAAATCAAGGTGCATCATGTTCCGGAATCCTTTGCACCTATGTTTGATCAGCCCGTGACGATTGCATTGTGGAACCGATGATTTTTTGGTGGTTCCACGCGAATGGCAACCATGCTGGTGAGGTTTTCCCATTGATAGGTGGGCTATGAAATCGATATATCAATTGAGTGGATCAAACAAATCCTGAGTCCAGGGACTCCAGGGACTATCCGTTGAAGTTTGGTCATTGTTGAATAGCTATTCACTTTTAGGCACAAGATTGGAAAAACCTCTAAGGTTAGACCTGTTTCTAGTTGAAATTGGCAGGACCCCAAAAATATGGAACACTTGGACATTTTTTTTTGGGAACACATCATCTATCCCAATCCTGGAAATACTTTTCTATCTTTTTGGGTGTTACCAGAACGGTTACCATATATAAATACTATTAAATACTATTATATAAAGTTACATGTGTATATGTATATATGTGTATATATATATATACATATATATACAATATATCATACTGACTCCCAGAAATGAAATGAATAAATGTTTTGGGGAAGACTCCCCCATTGAACGGTCAGCATTTCTGGTGAACTGTGGCTCGGTCCCATCCTATCTCCGCTGAGGCCCTGGGCTCATTGCTCGATTCCTCCTGGGTAGAGAATCCCAAGCCCCATATTAAAGACCCCAAACGAAACCATGGTGGATGTTGGGAATGAAACCACATCGGGACCATGGAATGGGGATGTTCAATATTAGGGGGGATCACTTCCTAAGAATCCTGTTCTATCCTCATTTTATTCGCATTCTATCTCCACTATCAGGGTGGCTTTATATTCACCATGCTTGGGCAAATCCATGTGGCAATGGCTCGAAATAACGGCTACTGTTATCCCAAACAATTTTGGATAATATTCTGATCTGGATCTGTCGCATTGGGGTACCCAAACGACAGGAGCATTCTGGTTGACCAAAATTCATGATACTGGCTTTCGCATCCATTGTGCCAGCTGAACCAGCGTCCTGACTTCACAACACCCTTCTTGTTTTGGTAGGAACCCAGCTGAGTTGCCAATGACCTGAAAAGAAATTCCATATCGTCATTTGTGCGAAACGTGAAAGTCAAAGTCCATGCAATCAGTTCAGCATACCGCAAGAACAAGTCGGATTCCTGCCGAAGGTTTGAAAGTTGGGATAGATTTGTTATTAAAACTAAGAATCAACATTGTCACTTTCTATTATTTAATTTAAATACTTTATTGTTTATTTTTGAACCACAGTTAACCACTTCGACGACAATGAATCAATCTGAACCACACATGTCCTGGGTTTCCGTTTCCATGAGTGCGTTCAGAAAACTTTTTTCTCATCGTGAAAGCCAGCTGTTTTGAAGGGCTTGTAGTTGATGCTGTACATGTAATTTCCACACAGCTGCCCTTGTTGAAGTTGAAGCTTGACATCAGGAGGGCAATTTGTAGTTGCCAACTTGAGGTCTCTCACCAGTCTATGGTATGGGTCCCAATAGAAGTGAATCATTGCAGCTCCAGTCTCCATCAAGAATGCTGCGCATGCCATTCCGACAGTGATGGAATTACTCCGCCATGGTAGGACTACTCCGCCAGAACTTCGCTTTGTCACTGTGATGGAACAGGCAAGGACCCAACAATTCCAGCCCTTCGCCTAGTTGCTTGGGGAGGAGTGCTTGTTCTTCTCTTTCTCCTTCTTCTGGTTTTTTCCTTTGGATCCTGTTTCGAGCTGCTTCACGCATTCCTTCAGCTCTGGTGTTGTGAAGTTCTTCAGACTACAGCGGTCAAAACCTTCTGTCATTCTTTACCAGTACTGGCTGACTTAGAACGGGATTCCTAGCGCATCGATGATGATAATCTCCACTAGAAATGGATAGAGTAATCCGCCAAACAATCCTCAAGCAACCATGATTTATAAATGGTATTCCCATAGTTTTCATGCTTAGAATTTCCTAGACCAGTGATGATTGACTGTCCATGTATTATTGAAGGAAGTTTAGAAGTCAAACTTCCGACAATATGGACAGATGAAAAGCAGAGATGGGAAGAGTCACAGAGAAGAGAAGAGTAAAGAGAGAAGATCAGAGAAGAGAAAGAGTCAGAAGAAAGAAGATGCAGATGCGCGAAAAGGTAGAAAAGTCGCGAAACACTGTGTTTTTCCAATGATTTGTGGCTCCGGAGGGTCGAAAAGTAGGCTCGCTAAAGGGGCGGGTGCGGAGCCATCTGGCCAAATGAGAGATGAAAAATTGCACGCCGTTGTGGCGCGAAGCACATTTCTAAGCCAAAATGTACAAAACACACCATTCTCAAGCCACTTTTGGAAGTTGAGATGTCGAAAAAGTGCACGCCGTTGTGGCACAAAGCACATTTCGAAGTCAAAATGTACAAAGCACACCAGCTCCGGACCACTTTTGGAAGTTGAGATGTCGAAAAAGTGCACGCCGTTGTGGCGCGAAGCACGTTTCGAAGTCAAAATGTTAAAAGCACCACATGCTCGAGCCACTTTTGGACGTTCACATGTCGTTTCGCATGGCAGGCGCAAGGGATTGTGGACCTTGTGAAAAGTGGGCAAAACGTGAGGGGTTTTGTCGCATTTCCACAAACGATGGCAGGCGTGGGACATTTGAAGAAGATCTGCAAAGATGCATTTTCCGTGGCAGGCGCAGTACAAGAGACATGTTCATCAGAGCTGTTAGGAGGTCCGGGCGCTGATTTCCTGAGAAGGGTTGCATTTTGGAGCATCAGATCTTCAGATTTGCTGAGATGATTTTGCGTGACAGGTGCAGCAATTCGTATGACCTGGCATCACTTTTTCGTGGCTGGCGCAGTAGTTTAGACACATGGAGTGGAAAAGTCGCAAAACGCATTGGTACGAGGCCGTCAGCTTTGCACTCAACTTTCCATTTTTGAAGGATGTCTCGCAGAATTGCTTCGTTTTTGATGTTGTCAACTTCGAAAAATGAGGAAGTCTCGCAGAATTGCTTCGTTTCTGACGTCGTCAAGTTCAAACATTGAGGAAGTCTCGCAGAATTGATGCGTCTTTGACGTTGTCAACTTCAAACATTGAGGAAGTCTCGCAGAATTGATGCGTTTTTGACGTTGTCATGTTCAAAACCTGAGGACGTCTCGCAGAATAGCTTCGTTTTCAAGCATGCAGATAGACAGGTAGATAGACAGACAGACAGACAGATAGATAAATAGGTAGATAGGTAGATAGGTAGATAGGTAGATAGGTAGATAGGTAGATAGGTAGATAGGTAGGTAGATAGATAGATAGATAGATAGATACATAGATAGATCGGCAGGTAGGTAGACAGGTACATAGTTAGATCGACAGGTGAGGTAGATAGATAGATAGATAGACAGGTGAGGTAGATAGATAGAGAGACAGGTGAAGTAGGTAGGTAGATAGATAGATAGATAGATAGATAGATAGATACACAGATAGGTAGATAGATGGACAGATAGATAGATAGTTAGATAGATAGATCGATAGATAGAAAGCTAGGTAGGTAGGTAGGTAGATAGATAGATGGATGGATAGATCGACAGATAGATAGATTAATTAGATAGGTCGATTAATTAGATAGATAGATAGATAGATAGATAGATAGATTAATTAGATAGGTAGGGTTATTAGATAGATAGATAGATAGATAGATAGATAGATAGATAGATAGATAGATACATAGATAGATCGGCAGGTAGGTAGGTTGATAGTCAGAGAAAGAGAGAGAAAGAGAGAGAAGAGAGAGAAAGAGAGGAGACCTCAACGAGCTTTCGGTCCATCAGTGGATTCGCTCTGCCATCCGTGATTCACAACAACCAACCTCTCCTATAGGTTTTCTATTTTTGAAACTTCCGCCACCGCCTTGTGTGGTACTATTGGTATCGATCAATTCTAGTAATTCACCAGAAAAGTTCGGCCATTTTGCGATCATTCCCCCAAAATTCATTCACCATTATTTACATCGTTGGATATACACATTATTGTTGGTGATATGCCAGAAAAAGCCCAAGAAATATCCAAGAAATGCATCCACATCATCCCCTACAGAATGCGTAGGAGCTTTATTTTCTTCTGGTTGGTGGTATACCTACCCCTCTGGAAAATATGAGTTCGTCAGTTGGAGTTACTATTCCCAATATATGGAACAATAAAATTCATGTTCCAAACCACCAAGCAGATTTTCTTGGTATAATAGATACCCTCTGGTTATTTAACATAGCCATGGAAAATGGCCCATAGAAATAGATAGTTTACCAAACTTAAAAATGGTGGATCTTTCCATGGCAAACTGTTAGTCATAACCAGATGGTAAATCCCATTAAACCAGATGTTTAATGGGATTTAATGGTGGTTTAATGGTGGTTTACTGGTGGTTTAATGGTGATTTAATGGTTTCTTGCAGCGATGGCTTTCTCCTCAGAAGATTGGAGCTCACCCACCCAGGGGACATTCTCCCGGGCTTCAGCAGACCTGGCGGATGGATTCGATGGATCCCAGGAATCCCCAAGCAACTCGCTGGATTTGGCGCCATCACACTTTTTGAATCGTTGAAAAGCGATTCAATGGCTGAGGTTCATCCCAGAAATCAAGGTCTTGAGCTACAAAAAGGACTTCAACCCATGTTGATCCAACAAAAAACCGGGTTCTTCAACAAGAACGACTGGTTGGTTTCAAGCAATGGAGATTATCATCCACCAAGCGGAGACAAGATGGGAATATTGTGAAACATGTGCCATGGTATCCATGGTCAAGTAACGGATGGATATGGATGGATGTTATATGGTCATCACAAGGGGAATCCTCACAGTTCTACATAATATACTGGGCATGCGAATCTCTATGAAAATGGATGGCCATCTGGCCATCCCCCCAAAACTCGTCCATTTTCACACGTTCTGATCATGGCACCTGAAGGTTTATTGTTTTCGATGTTTTAGACCGAATCGCAATCGGGATTCAAGCAACCCCCCAAATGTGATAAATGGTGAAGATTCGTCCCGAAATAAATCCACGCATTATTGAGGGGGCCACCGACCTAGGGGTGTTGGTAAAATGATCATCGATGCAATGTTGTGAGGTGCAACGAAAACTCCGCCTTCTGAGGATTTGGTCCTGGAGAACCGAATGTTTATCCTCGCAAACGAGCCGACGATTGCGGAAATTTCATCGACTGGCCATGTCGTGGCCGTCCGATGTGTTCCATGGCATGGCAACAAGCGGCACCAAGTCTCCACGTGCGTTGCGCATTTGCGTTGCGCGGTCGACCTCCTGCATCTGGCCACCGAGCGCTGATCGAGGAGTTTGAAGTGAGCTGAGACACGGAAGGATGAATGCTCCCAAGGGTGGGAGGACCTGCTGACAGGGTGGGAGAGGCCAGAAAATCACATATCACTTGAAACAAAGATCTGAAATCATGCTCTGGAAGAATTCAACATTTGTTTGACGATTCCGAAATCACAGAAACTGTCACAACACAATTATGGATTACATTGGAATGAACATCTGTCGAATCAAAACCAGGCTGATCCAAACTTTATGCCCTAGTTTGTTAGCTTAGTCGGCTTTTAACTAGCATAATTGACTAGAGTTTAGGGAAAATATATGTATAGTGAATGGGTAAAAAACAAGTTGTAACTGTCAGATTTTGGTCAGATTTTGGCATCAATCTGAAAAAACATCACCAGCCTGATCATGAGCCTATGCCAGTTTACCCAACTATTGATCCATGGTCGTTGGTGCAAACCCCACCCATTCTGCTTGTTGAGCAGACCCCATGAAAAATGGGCTACCATTGGTTTACCTTGAGATTCACCTTGGTTTTCCTTGATTTTTGTCCCCCTTCTATTTGTTGCAAACCACCATCCGAGCCACAGCCGGACTCGGGCCTTAAAACTAACAACGCGCGCATGGACGTCATCTGTAAATGGCATGGACCGCCTGCGCCATCCTGGTGGCTTGACCCATGTAGAAATCCATCCGAATTTCGCATGGAACAACTGGAAAAAGGGGTGATGAAAAACCATCAAAACTAGGGTTTCACTTGGTATAGATTTCCAGATGTAGACAATACGAATGCCAGCAGAAATTCAATGCCACCGAGGACTCTGTCCTGTGATGGATTCCATCCTATGTTCTGGGGATTTGTTGTATGGGATAGTATGGGAATGGATTCATGATGATCCCATACTATATAAAACTATATACCTAGACTAATGATGATCAATGTATCCCAATGTTTGCTTCAAAAAGCAATTAATCATGACAGTCGACTGAAAGCCATGGAACCCAAGCGTTGGAGAGAAAGATTGTGGGTTTCGTAACGGGTTTTCAGACCCGTTTTATGCCCTCCAGTAATGGGGCAAACTGGGAATTCTCCTACTTCTATGGAGGTGTTAATAGTTTTTGTTGTTACTTGACATTGCCAATCTTAGATACCCTGCAAAAAATAAATTCTTTGCTGGTTAGTAGATATTCCCATTAATACCAAAAGACTAAAGGATTAAAGTATCCATGTAAGATTGACCTAGTTGATAGGGATTCCCGGTTCATGGATGATGATTCCCTACATATCTGGTAGTATAAAGCTCTGAAACCCCCGAACTCATCAACCAACAAGTGCTCATGCCTTCCCATCTACCCATCTATTCCATCTATATAACCCTACTTGTATAAGTTTTTTCTACTTATATCATCATGTGTAATTTTACACTCCCCAAAATTAACATAGACCCAGCCAAAACAGGAGTTTGGAAGATTATTTTCCACTCAACAACAGGTGATTTTCAGGGTCTAGAATGAGCATTTGCGGGAGGGTAAAACCCCCGTAATAAAATTTAAGTCTAGTTAAAACATGTTCTGTTTCCAACTAATTTTAATTGTGTAGTTGTAATGCTTATCAGAATGCTGACTCTATAATGTTCTAACTATACAAATATATATATATAATATTACACCATTATGTAACTCGGTATCATACCATATTTCTAGCTATACCTATGGCTTTGTCTGAACATAGTGTACCCCCTAAATCCACTAGATTCTCATCATTTTCCCTATTCAAATAGCAATTTCGAGGTATAGGCCCTTTTTCAGACACATCCATATTTCTTATATATACACATATATTTCTTATATGTATATGTATATATATATATACGCAGCTATATATATATATACACATATATATATGTATATATATATATATATATGTAGACATAATAAACCAAACTAATTATGCTTTTCGAGTTTCTAGTTCTATCATTCACTGCTTCAGTACCCGCCTGCCCGCCGTGGGCCCCGCCGAAGGCGGGCCACCAGCGCGGCAGCGGATCGAAGCCGGGCAGCAGCCAGGCGATGGGCCGAAGCCACTTGGAGGGGATCCTGGCGCAACGATGGGCGAAACCATGGCTGCTTTGTGGGTAATTAATGTGGTTAATAGTGATTAATACTGGTTATTAGTGATTAATACCTGATCTAATGAATAATATATCTGGTTGGTGGTTGACCTAACCATCTTAGAAACATGATGGAGTGAGTTCGTCAATGGTTGGTGGATGACATCCCCAGCATAATTATTATGGAACATGTTTGAAACCACCAACCAGATGTTTGTTTCTCCAATATATTCCCAGTTCGTCAGTTGGGATTATTATTCCCAACTGAATGGAAAGTCATGACACATGTTCCAAACCACCAACCAGTTGTTACTTGAGTTTCGGCAAACTCACCATTTTGACCTATTTCGTTGTTGGGGTTTCCCCGTGTCGATCGCGCGCCTCTTGCGTCCCAGCAGGGACATAATGAAGGGCGCGTTGGGCTCAATGGACAGCACCGACAAATGCAGCAGCGAGAGGTGCTTCGACTCACCTCGGCACATACTGCAAAGGATTGATGATGTTGAGCAGCTTTGATAGGTGAAAATGGATGTGTATATGGTGATATAATATATTATAGCGATGATTTACCAGTTACTTTTTGGGAGGTTGTTTGAAAATGGGGACCCCTCCAATTCCACGTGTGCAGTATTCTTTATTTTTTCCATTATATAAATAGCCGCGGCGGTAGGGTATGCCATTTCAAACACGCCCAAATGTCCCCATGAAATTTGCAAAAAACTACAGTAATTATCAAAGTCACCATCCAGTCGGTTGACCCAAAATTGTGGCTCTTGTTGCTCTGTGGATGGCTACGGCTCAAAATCATTGAAGGCGCTGGAGCCGAAAATTTGGGTGACTTTTCAGTGTTGAGCTCTCCGTTTTGTGCATACTATTGTGGTGGGGCAGCCCATGCGAAATGGGATGATTTCAGAAATCAAATGGGGATTCTCAAGTTACATGAATAGAAAAGAAACCAGCCCTTCATGGGTAAACGGCCAACAAATTCAATCTTTAGAACAACATGACAAACAGATATGATCACCTTAACAACAAAGGGTTGTTGCTACACCCCTGTGGATACCACCGGTGTTTTTGGACCAATGGTATGTTGGGAACACACTCGAATCTCTGGCCTGTTGAAACTTGGATGCAGAACTATTGGCTCCTCATTTTTGACCCAAACATGACAAACGTGTACCCTCTGGTAAACTAACATAACTATGGAAAATCACCATTTTTACTGGGAAACTCACTATAAATGGCCATTTTCAATAGCTATGTTAGTTTACCAGAGGGTACTTGATTTGAAGGCTGAAAACATCGAGGGTATTTATGGAAGGTGGCAGACCAAAGTAGGCTTGTGACTACCGGCTTCTCCGACTGAAATCAGCTGGCTAAACCCAATTCGTGAATCCGACAGCGGTGGTTTCAAGAAAGGCCCAGCATATTCGCAACTTGGGTGAATCATGTGAACAGTCATGTGCTCGTTCGTTGAGCTGTTTAAATAGTGGGACATGACATGACAAATTATCTGGAGCAACCGCTGCCCTGGTTCATCATCTGATGTTTGGCAGTGTCCCTGTTGTAGATCCACTTAAACCATCTCAGACAATCTTTATCCACTATGGCCACCGCTGTAGGTAAAACAACCCTTTCCAATTGCTGCTGCTTGACTTAGACTCCTGTAATCAAACATGACAATGGAAAATCCCCCATTGATGATTTCCTCATTCAAATCTCATGTGGGGCTTGTCCATTGCATCCATTGCCATGTTTGATGACACCGGTTGCGTACCAAATTTCGACGCCCGGCAGACCCTGCGGATCCTGCCTCTGACTTCTGCATGGAGTTGGAAAAACTCGTCCCATTGCTCCATTCTCAACTGCAACGTGCCACCACGCGGTAAGCCTTGAAACCGGGGTCAAGCCGAGATGAGATGACCGAGGTCGTGCAATGTACGCGGATACGTGAGGATATGGATGGGTCTGAAAATGAGGCTTACCGTAAATTTGTAAATTTCAAAGAGAACATGACTGGTTGGTGGTTTCAATCCCTCTGAAAAATGTGAAAGTCAGTTGGGATGATGACATTCCCAACTGAATGGAAAAATACTGTAAGTCATGTTCCAAACCACCAACCAGTATAGTACTATAGTTAATTTCATGTTATATCATGTTATATCCATCATCTATATCCCATATATCATGTTATATCCCAACAATATATCCAAACCACCAACCAGATGAGTACATGGTATGATTATTAACCATTATTAACCATGATTAACCATCGTTACCTCATACTAATGTTCCTAACCACCAACCAGATGATCAACCAATTGTGCTGCTGATATTTCCAGACCAACCCATGATCAAAATTCGGGGATCCACGATCCGCAGCATTCCAGGAGTTAGATATGGTGGTGTATGTTCCAAGTCGCTTAGATATGCTTGCAGACATTAGGTGAACTGGATATTCTAAGTGACTTGGAACATATTGCCAAGTCAATATTCTAATTACAACTTGATATTTAGTCACATGATCGAATGCATATTCTGTGGCTAAACATATTCGAATGCAGAGTACAGCGACACTATAGACCAGGTCGAATTCAACGACTTTTCTGGAGCATAAACCCCATCCCCCTTGGCCAACATTGGTTGCCCATTGTACCATCGTATGCCCATTAATTCTTGATCATAGACCCTATTTTGGATGGTTAAAACCATCCCATCCCCATCCGTATCATAATGTTGGTGATTTCCTCAGTCGATCCCACTATTCAACCCTTTTTTTTGGTTCCAATAAATGGAAAAATTGCATAATGAACCTTCCACTTCTCATAGTTTTTCATAAGTTTTCGGCACTTTTCCCAATTCTTTCATCCTTTTTTCCATGAGTTTTCCCAGCATTTTCATATTTTCCATGGTCAAAACCGTGGTTTTTCTCCATGTTTCATGATTTTCCATGGTAAAACCATGGTTTTTCCATAGGTTTCTCCATTTTTTGACGGCCAAACCTCCCTCCCCGCCTATGCGACAGCTCTGACTCCGGGGATCCGCCGAGGTCCAGCGAAAGGTCAGCGGCACCGCGGCCATGGCCCGGCTACGGCGCAGCGCACGGAGGTGTCCTGGCAATTTCGCCATGAATGGACATATAATATATATATATAATGGTGATTCAATATATCTATTAAACAACTATTATGGTGATATATTGAATCTATATTATGGTGATATATTATGGTAATAGATATATTGATAGTAGTAAAATGGCGAAATCTAATGTGGATTACTATTTATATTAGTAATAGAAAATAATAGATATATTGATATTTACTACTATCCATGATATATTGAATCTAATAGTAATATCTAATCTAATATGGATAGTAGTAAAATATCAACATGGATAATTCTATAAGTAGTAATATATAACATGGATAATCTAGTTAATTATAGTGGATAATTATCAATCCATAGTTCATACATCTGGGTAAATGATAATATTATATTAGAATATAGTGGATAAAACATGTTAGATAGTGAATAATAGTAGTAATAGTAGTAATAGTAGAAATATAGTAATATGGATAGTAGTAAAATATCAACATGGATAATAGTAGTAATATGGTAATATATCTAATAATAACATGGATAATCTAGTAATATATGGACATATAATAGTTGTTTAATAGATATATTGAATCTAATAGTAATATCCATTCACTATCCATTCACTATCCATTAATAATTATCCATACCATGAAATACCCTCTGGTAAACTAACATGGATAATAATAGTAATACTAAACATATTTATAGAATCTAATATATCTAATCTAGTAATGGATATAGTTATTCAATGGATTGGTTTAAGGGAAATTTTCAGGAAAACCACATGTTTAATGGGAAAATCTATGGTTTCCTGTAGAATCTAATATTTGTAGAATCTAATATAGTAATCATATATCTATAGTAATCAATATTCAATACTATAGATAGTTATAGTGAAAACTATGGTGAATGATAGTATATACCCTCTGGTGAACTAACAGTTCACTATTGAACATGGCCCAGTTATAGTTGATTTACCTATTAAACAGGGTTATTTTCCATAGTCATGTTAATTTACCTAGCTATAGTTAATATTAGCTATGATAGAATGGTCAATATATCATGGGAGGTTCTATGGTTAATATAGCTATGGTTAATATTAGCTATTAACTTTGGTCAATGATAACATACTATAGAATCATAGTTATAGCTTATGATAGACTAACAGCATAGTATAGAATCATAGTATGGTTCTTTATAGAATAGTATGAAAACTATGAAAACTATATTATGGTTAACATGGTTCATATTGGATTGTATATGTTGGTGAAACCATAGTATATGATGGTTAATGATCGTATATATTCATAATGATAGTCAAATATATATATATTAATGATAGTTAATGATATATAAGCTATTTGCTATGGTTAATGATATATTTATAGAATCTCCCCATAGTTAATGATGTTAATGATGGAATCTCCCCATGATATATTTATTGGATAATGTCAACCCCGGATGAGACTAAACCATAGTTTATTAATTAGGGGGTACTTCCCCAATAGTTAAGATCTGAGACTTAAATGGTACCACCCGAAATTTAACAGCCTAAGGGTTTATTACTCCAGGGTTGACATTATATAGTAGTTTCTATAGTGTTTGTGTGATTATCATGGTTAATAATATCATAGTATTGTAAATATATAGTTCATATAAGTATGATATCTAACATTATGTAATACGAATCTATAATAATTGTATTGTTTGCAGATTCCGATGAGATCCAACATCCAAGTACTGGATTATCTAACGAGCTTTTGTTTACCATAGAAAGTGAGAATGGCTAATGGTAATGCATACTGTTTTCTACTTACAACGTAGCCATAGATTATTAACCATAGTCAATGTTTCATGATCAGATAACCCGTTTAACCATAGTTGACTATAGTTATGTTTAAATAGCAGCCATTTATATGGGTTTATTACTAATAGTTGATATAATGAACTATGGTTCTACTATCATGGGTAGTAGTTACTAGTATGATCCTCCTATTAATTAACTTGGTTAACCCACAAAATATGGATATCAATTGATTCCCATTTGCTTATTGACAATGTTATGTTAGATGAGTTGTATTTGACCATAGACCATAGAAAGTGATTAACCACAGTTTTATTGGAAGTAATATTGTAATCAAACTTTGGTTCATATTAACAATAGGTAAAATTAGCTAATGTACTACAATAATATATACCCTCTGCTTCTTTAACATAGCTATGGAAAATTGCCCATTTGTAGAATATAGAGTGAAACATAGGAGGATTGCATGGATCCGTGACAGATGGTCACTATCTTTGTTTGGTATTTGGTGAAGTCATGGTCTTTCATTTGGGATATTGTAGTTGGTCATTACTAAGTATACTCAAGATTCCATTAAGATTCGTCAACTATCCTATGGTTCAGGTAAAAACGTCTCAGATTAACTCCAATTCTTCAGGTTAAATCGAGGTATAACTTATATAAATGAATATCCCATTGTTAAGTGGAGACATATGTTTCCTAAAAGTCCCGTGCTTGGGATATCCATTGTTTCAGGTGAAACCCCAGGCTTCAGGTTACATCATGTTACATCTCACTCCCGATAAATTGGTTATACCAGACCGGTGACAGACCAGTTATACCTGTGGGATGATCCAGTGGCATATGGGGAATTCGACAAGCCAAAGCTGGAGATGTGGTATGGTATGGAGATGTGGTATGGTATGATGTGGTTTAACATGGTTTAACCAACAAATCATAGGATACGTCGGATAAGTGGTTGAACCATGTCTGGAGATTGAGCCCTCTATGTTTGAATGGCCAACCGATGCGGGAGGTTTGAACCCAACGGTTGGATGATATTTCATTGGAAAGGAGGTGAAGTAAAATGACAATCATCAGCTTTATCCCAATATATATATATATATGCATATATGCATATTATCCATAAACATTGGGGGCATTGCCAACAAATGAGGACTGACAACAAGGATTTTTTTGGAGGCTTGAAGCCATCGGAACTTGAAGTGACCAAGATTGGGATTTCGCCGGCTGATCACTAGTAGAATGTGAGAACATTCCATTTGGGTGTCATGAAAATTTTGAACCATAGTCAGCTGAAAAAACTTATGACTCAAGCACCTGGTCTTATACTTCGATCTGTGCCCATAAAACCCATTGAACCGTAGAATTTCGATGAATTTCCAAGGAAATTGGCTTTATATGGAAATGGGTTCCTCCCAAATGTCGCGGCATGTCTTGGCTAATCACCATTTTGCCACTGGCCATCATTTGACACATGTACAGTCATTTACCATCATTTTTAGAGCCATGAATCGCAACCACCATCGCAACCAGGGCCTCGATAAAAAGCGGTGCTCAAGGGATCTCGACCTTGGCGCCAGAAAAACTGCAGGTTTTGCTCTAATTGAGGATAGTTACCATCCAATTTTAGGGTACCTTAATTTTGCATGGCCATATACTTATGATGTACCCTCTGGTAATCAAACCATGGCAGAATCTCCTCAATAAAATTTCAATTTTCATAAATGGAGGTTTTAATGGGAAAAAACACATTTATAAAGCGGAGCCGTTTCCATTGCCATTTTTGATTACCAGAGAGTACACAGGATATAGTTAATATACATGTGGCACCTGTGGCAAATCAAACCTATGCAATACATTTACCATGTTTAGGTGAATGAACATCCATTCTAACCCAGCTATTTTGGGGTGAACAGAAGGCAATGATACAGTACCAAGGGTTTTGACCCATCCCATATATGTTTGCTTTTTGGTAACAACAATGAACGCTTGATAATTTTTGGCAGTGCAGATGGCGATGCTTATATAACAGTTATATAAAAGAAAGGAAATCAATGGGAATTTCAGGATCCTAAAATGGAGGTACCGATTCCATATATAAGGCCTATATATATATAAGGCCTATGTAAGGCCTATGTACGGGGATATATCCCCAAAATATGGCCTTATATAGTACATACAGTACCTCCATTTTAGGATCCTGGAGATCTCCCATTGAGGAAATGTCGGGACGTTTCCCGCAGGATACCCTGCAGAACGCCTCCAGGTGAAACCCCGGAGATCCTCTGGTAATGACTGGTTAACAGTTTTAGCGAACTGGAAGCCATGGCCCAGTCGAAATAGTGGATTTACCCAGCTAGAAAATGGTGGATCTTTCCATAGTTAGGTGAAAGTTTACCAGAGGGTATCCCATTTATAAATGGCTTAAGTATATTTAAGTATAACTATAACCATAAATGGAGGATGAATAATGGCTTAGTTCATCTTTCTTTTGATCAACCGATCAACCATTCCTCCATTCCCGGCAGCGGGCGCATCGAAATTCATCGAAATTCATCCCCACGGGATCTTGCGTCGAAGGTGCCGAAGCTGGCCTCGTGTTGCTTGTAGAGCTCCTTGAAAAATCGGTTGCAGTATCCCATTGGGAGCCTGGGGAAGATATATATATATAGATAGATAGGTAGATAGATAGGTAGATAGATAGATAGATAGATAGATAGAGATATGGAAAAACGATGGTATGATGGGCATATTTAATTACTTATGGAATATTGATGGACACAGGTTTGTCGGTTGATACCCTCCACGGCGGAAATTCATCTGATTGGGTCCTTTACAATGGCCCCTTTTGCCAAAAAGGTGCCAAAAAATGTAGACACCTGCCCCATGTATCAGGATAATATATAAGATATTGACTATACTACATTGCCATTGCAGCATTCCATATACATCATTGCATCCCATGATGTACTGTAAGCGTTGTTCATGGGTCACTTCCTCGGCGCTACAAGCATGTATGTGATAGATCTGATTTGGCGGCCCTGTTTCTTCATCGTGTACATTCGTTATTTCAGGATGTCTTAAAATAGGGGTGCCCCAAACTTCCAATTTTCCATTCAAACAAGGGTTCTTGGGGCACCCATGGGCATCTATTTTAAGACATCCCAATATCGTATCATCATAGCATATCATATTCAAATATCGACTATCAATATATCACTATATCAAATCAATAACATATAAGCTTTGTTTATCATCTGCAGTCCTACCCATGAGATCTCACTCGGGAAAAATCAACCAATCAGCAGCCTGCAATGCTGAAAAACATGTGCCGGTCTCCGGATCCCCTGCGCCCCCTGAGCTCTGTCTTGATGAAATCGTTGTCAAAAATCAATGCCAAAGCAACGCTGCGCCGGCGGCTTCGCGTGGGATTGCTGGATCACGAAGCCACTACACAAATGAGTTCTGCCAGTTATGCACCAACCCCAGGGCCGCCATCTACTGGGGAACTCCAATTTCAGACCATTTTTGTCGCATGTCATGGATGGCATGGCCACCAGAGTTTTTTTGGGAAATTCTGGACAAAAGACCCTAAAAATCATGAGGAGCTATGAAATTCCCATGATTTTCTCAGTAAAACCAATCTGCTATGCCATGAAAACCACAGGTATGGATAGTCTTCGTGTACCCAAAGATATACCAAATTATCATTAAAAAATCAAGGCCATCTCAACAATGATGGATCACTATAGTGGAAAATCATTTGCTGATGATCTTGATTCTTGAAGATTCAGGTTTCCCCGCAAAAGGAGGTTTCCCTACTAAAATTGCAATCATAGACCACTTTGGTGGATTCTCAAGGTCTCTCTCAAGAAATGCCTATGAGTGCAATAAATGAGCAGCAATTCCCGTGGCTTTTGGACACACCCATATCATGGTGTTGAGTATATCCTGCATATACTACAAAACAGAGGATTCCGCCGCAATTTTCCAGCAGTTTTCTTCGTTGAATCTTGTTGAAATCCATTTGGGGGTTTCCATAGACATGGGGGTACCCCAATAGCTGGATGGTTTAGGGGTACCCACATGAAAATCCCATCTAGAGATAGATGACTTAGGGGTACCCCCATGACTTAGGAAACCTCCCAGGAATGATTCCCAAACTTCCCAAAAATCGATGAACAAAAAACGACACGTTGATATACATTCGCTGGTTGAAAATGGTCTCCCATTCATATGGCTTAGTGAAAATAATCCGCAAGAAACTCAACTTAGTATAACTCCTTATCTCACAATCCATCAACCATCATTTGTCATATTCTATCATATTCGCAATTGTTTGTTGTTACATGTGCAAAATCCCACTTTTCATAACCTATTTTTTTTCAAATGGATATATTATATATATAGATGGACATAGCCCAGAAACATGGGTTTAACATGGGTTTGTATTATATATGCTCAATATTCTCCAATCATGGTTGATTTACTGATTTACACGGGTAGTGCCCATGTAAGGGGAATGTGAAAAAATATCCAATGGTTGATATTGGTTAATAATGGGTTCATATACCATAAACAATATACCCAATGCCAGGGGTTGGAAGACTAGTGAAACCACTATAAATTGGTCATTTTCAGGGTCGAACTGTTAATTTTCCAGAGGGTATATGGTTAATATACCATAAATAATATACATGGTTGATGCCCAATAATGGTTGATAAAAATATCCAATGGGTTAATATACCAATGCCCAATCATGGTTGATTTACATAGGTAATGCCCCTTTCTCCCCATTCACTTCCCGGCTGGGCCCGGCTGGTCCTTGAAGAGAGCCACGCCCGCCAGATCTGCAGCGGGACAGCCGCGCCATTTGGAGCTCAGGCTTTCCAACCTGCAGAAAAAAGTTCCTATGGAGATCAAGCAACTGCCTCTACCTATATAATGTGTGTATATATATATGTATACATATATGTACATATACATATGTATACATATATATGTAAAATAATAATAGCAAATACTAGCAATAATAATCATGATAAGGATCTTTTGCGTTACAATCGATAATAGTGATACTCATGATAATGCCAATGTCGATACAAATTGATACAAACACATTGCATACCCCAATATGTATATACAGTATGCGTACAATAAATGTATATGAGATGTATATGATATCATCTGTGTGGAAGGAGCTTTAAGTAAAATTCCACCTCATTTCCAAATATTTCCAACGGCTGCTGCAAAACCCAAGTGTTCTGCCATCATAATAATACCTGTATGTATGGGTACTACTAACAACCGGTTATATGAGCTGACTCATGTGGCTTGTATCATTCCCAACGACACCCCCAAGATCTCCCAAGTAGCTCGGTGCCGATCCCAGGAATCCCAGGGAAACGCCGAAGAAACAACCAGTTTTTGGGTGATTTTCGCACGGTTTCTGTTTCCTCTCAACGTTGATTGAGGTAAACCAAGGTAAACCCAAGGTAAACCCAAGGTAAACCCAACAACAAGCCACTGAAATTTTTGAGTATTAGGTTTTAATATGTTCTAATATCATCCACACGGTAAAGATGGTAAATGTTGCATGGTTTAGGGTTTAGGGTTTAGCCCATGAGTTTCTTCATAAATCGAGTAGTTGCACCAAATTTGAGCCATCAATCTGTTCCATTTTTCGAGCTGGAATACTGGGATCGGGAACTCCTGATCAATGTGGTTCCAAAATTTTGACTTATCTAGCTACAACATTCTACAGCACTGCTATCAAATCCCCATCCCCATTCGCGAGCGGCAAGGTGATATATGCTGGTTGGTGGTTGACCAACCCCTCTGAAAAATATGAAAGTCAATGGTTGGTGAATTATCCCATGTATTATGGAAAATAAAAGCCATGTTTGAAACCACCAACCAGTACATATATATATCTGTATACACACAAAATGTTTGTGGTTAAACAAAATCACCACAAAAATTGAGGATCGAACTGGAAAACCCGATTGGACCCTCGTGTGAATGGATGAAAGGGACATGTAAACCCGGAAACCATGGTTTCTTTTTATTCTAAAACTCATTTCAACCCGAAATTTCTGAAAGTTAATGAGTTCTGCATCTTACCATTGGTCTATGGCTACCGAGCCACTCCCGGACGTTGTCAAAGATCCAAGGGGCCTGGACCCGTTCCATGGGATAGGTCATGGGATAGAACGAGGAGATGGGTGGAAGATTAACGGCATATATCTATAACTAACTATCTATCTATCTATCCATCTATCTATCCAACTATCTATCTATCTATCTATCCATCTATCAATCTAACTATCTATCTACCTATCCATCTATCTATCTATCTATCAATCTATCTATCTATCTTTCTATCTATCTATCTATCCATCTATCTAACTATCTATCTATCTATCTATCCATCTATCAATCTAACTATCTATCTACCTATCCATCTATCTATCTAACTATCTATCTATCTAACTATCTATCTAACTATCTATCTATCTAACTATCTATCTATCTATCAATCTATCGATCTATCCATCTATCAATCTAACTATCTATCTACCTATCCATCTATCTATCTAACTATCTATCTATCTAACTATCTATCTATCTAACTATCTATCTATCTATCAATCTATCTATCTATCGATCTATCTATATCTATGTATATATGTATATACATAACATACATAATATAAAATATAAATCTATATTATATTATGTATATATATATAATATATATTCACTAATAGTGATCATATATATTGGTGATAGATTGATGGTAGAATATTGATGAACTATATCATTGATCAATTACTGCTTTCATCAAACCTCTGGAGATTTCCGCTATGTTTGACTACCGGAGGGTACCCTCTGGTTATTTAACATAGCCATGGAAAATGTCCCATTTGTAGATGGTTTACCTATTAAAAATGGCGATTTTCCATGGCTATATTAAATAACCAGAGGGTAAATGGATGACCAAGGCGAACTGTTCCTGTTTGTTTAGTTCACGAGGACCACTTGGGTTTAAGGCAGTAACTATAGATGAAGCTGTCGTACTTGAGCTTTGAATACCACAGGAAAGTAGCCAGAATACCTGTGGAGTACCTGGAGTACTTCATTCACCTCGCGGGAAAGCCCACAAAAAAGTAGTTTTATTGATTAACACCACCAATTGCAGCCAATGTCTAAAGTACATTCCCATCTTTCCTACCAAAGCCACCATTTTGGCCGCTGACAGCCGCAAAAAATAGCCAATTTTTTCTGGGTCAATCCATCCCATCAATGTCCAATGTCCCAGCTACAGGGTTGCTCCCAATACTCTGATTACAAGGGTGGTAACATAGCTAGATGAAGAGGTAACATACCATCAATTTACCCCTCTTGTGAGAATTATTTTGCGATGATTGGGTGGGGCAACCTCATTTTGTGGGAATTATTTACACCCAAATGCATCTAAAAAACTGGATATGAATAGGATATTGTTTTTTTGAGCAACATATGGAGGGTTCCTAAAATGGGGGTACCCCTTCATCATCCACTTTATTAATTTTCCATGAAACAAACCATCCAGCTATTGAGGTACCTCCATTTATAGAAACCCTCATATGGCTGAATACAATGTGGGTAAAACAATGCCATAAACCATCTCCCAAATCACCATTTTTATAGGTGGTATGGTTACCATTCCCAGTCATGGGTGGTTTATGACATTGTTTTACCCACATTACATTAAAAATTGAACAATCTACCATCTGGTAAACATTAAAAAAACAATGGAAAAGCACCGTTTTTGATGGGTAAATCAGCTATTTCTATGGTCATGTTTCAACTATTTAAAATCCCATGATATTCCCATAATATCACCATTCCCATTGATATCACCATTTTTCAGAGTAAAATCACCATTTCCCACTATATTCCCATGATATTCCCATTGCTCCCATGGCTGGAGATATGGCTGGCGCCCTGCTGCACCTCGTGCTGCGGCACGTCTTGTCCCGTGAAGATCGAGCGCGCTAAGTCGCGCCACACACCAAGGCTGGAGCTGCCCTGGATGCTGTGGAAAATCACCAATTTCTATAGGTAAAAAACCACTGATAAGTCGATAAACGTCCTTTTTACATATTTTTACCTATAAAAATTGGTGATTTTCACCTTATCGATGGACATCACCTTATAAATTAGCTTCTTAGAATAATCATTGATAAGAGGGTTGTATACCGGGTGGATTCTGAAGTGTTTTGTAAGAAGATAAACAACATAATATACACATAACACATATCAAATTTGTAGATGACATGCACAAATGTATCCATCTATGGAGGATCTTCCGTGATCTTCCAATCGACTCATTGGCTGTAGAGCGAGGTTAATGATCAACTATTCGTCCATGTTAAGAACGTATGCTAAATGATGTTGACTGCATACGGTCACGTCCTGGTTATCCTGGTTTCTAAGCATCATGCAAAATCCAAAACATTGTTGCTTGAAATCCTTCAACATCCGACATTTGCACGCTGATTTTGAATAAGCATTCCAAATCCCCCAAATGAAATCATTCACAAGTTGCCATCAATTTGGATATTCAAAAGGTGTATTTTTTCAGCCACATTCAAATTGCCATCGTTACAATCCGACAGAGCCATCTGCCGTTTCGTTACCTGTGGCTCTCCATGCAGCAACAGGATGTAGCGCTGTGACAATAGCAGCTCCTGGCAACGAAAAACATCTCCACTGTGGGGATATCACTGGTAAAAATGGTGTTTTTTTTTATCACGAAACAAACCCCACAACATGATACAACATGTGATCCATTTTGGATGTAATGGGGATATTAGTCGCTATTCTGGTGTTTAGCAACACTCAAATAGATAGAACAGTTGGAAAATCATCACGACCTAGATCAATATTGTCAGAGATCAAAGCCGGCTTATCCGGTAGTATGGTAAATGAATCATAAGAATGAGCGCTGTCTTACCCTCAAAGTGAGATCACTCATGTTAAGCATCATAGTAGTGACAATCCACGATTAGGCCAGATGTCAAATGATTCATTGAGATTTTTCAGGAATAAACCATCCAAAAATAGCTCCGAATGGCTCCCTGCCAAACAACCGGAGAGTCTATCCATTTTCTGGTTTGTGGTTGAGCCACCCCTCAAACAATATGCTCGTCAGTGGGAATCGTCAGCCCAAATATGGTTGAGAATAAACGTACATGAAACTACCACCAACCAGCTCGTATCATTAATTAGTTCATGGGTTTTGTTAGACCAACTTGGAACTGGGGGGCACATGGAGTCAGATTTCCGTATGGATCCACGAGAAACACAACATCTTTAAAGGACGTCGTTCATATTGGTTATCTATTCTATATCGTATGCCCATGTCCCCATTTTAGATCCACTTAAACTTTCCATGCTTTCATCTACAAGCACCACCCAGAGACGTCGCAGAGATGGATTCACCTCTAACCTCACCAAAGTCTTCACTTTTCTGTGAAGATTGGAAAAAACAAATTTCTTCAGACTCAACCATTGTCGGTCGATTTGCTGCGTGCCAGCGATTTTCGACAACTTGGTACTGTTGATGTCAGTGAGGAGGCGGCAAAACTCTTTGTTTTGGTGACTCGCTTGGTGACATTTAATTTTCAGATGCCGGGCAGCAGTCAACCAAGCCTTCGCTCCGTCGGAATACAATGCCCTTGCACCTCGCTGGGCAGCATTGTTCAGCAACCCCGAAGCCTGGACATCTTTCCAGGATTCCACCGGCGGTCTGCCTTTTGGAAACGTCACCGCAAGTGCAAGATGCAGCGATAAAGGAAAACTCTTGTGAAATCATGTCACGGAAATGCAGGTAACATATATCATATCTGCCTGTGTTACGTGACATTAGGATGGAATGGGTAAGAAAACAACGCAACCACTCAGGATCTCATAGCACAACATGTTGGATAGGAAGCATCATCATTATCAGAAGTAGGAAGAATTATGGAATCATATTTGAAATGCAAATAAGGCATGAGAGCATTGAGCAAAACATTTCATCAGGGCACTCTTGGGTAAAACTACACCTTGGGTAAATATCTTTAAGTCAAATAAAGAACTTGCTAACACACCCCCAACAGCCCCCACCGACAGCAACGTAGCATGACGAGAGTGCGCAAGTGCAAGAGAAGAGCTTGTCAACGTAGCATCACGTAGTTGTGTAAATTGAAGAGAACGTGCAGTAGCGTAGCATCACGTAGTTGTATAAATTGAAAGGAACTGCAGTAGCGTAGCATCACGTAAGTGTGCAAGTCCAGTGAACGTTAACATCCCCTCCCACCCCCCCCCACCCACCCACCCACCCCCCACCCCAGTCAACGTAGCATCACGTAGTTGTGTTAATTGAAGAGAACGTGCAGTAGCGTAGCATCACGTAGTTGTGTAATTGAAGAGAACGTGCAGTAGCGTAGCATCACGTAAGTGTGCAAGTCCAATGAACGTTAACATCCCCCCCCCCCCCCCCCCCCCCCCCCCCCCCAGTCAACGTAGCATCACGTAGTTGTGCAAATTGAAGAGAACGTGCAGTAGCGTAGCATCAAGTAAGTGTGCAAGTCCAATGAACGTTAACATCCCTCCCACCCCCCACCCACCCACCCCCCACTCCCCCAACGAACCCATTTAACACAGAAAACGCACGAAATTACCAGGCGCCTGGTGCGCCCGCTGGCAACCACCAACCAGCCATAGTTGTAGGGGTTGTATGCCAACTTATTGGGGCTATTTCACCATGGTACCCCCGGCTGTACCCTGCTAGCCCTGCGGCTCCTGCCACGCTGCGCCGGCAGTGGCGTCTCTGGAGGTGCACAACACCCGCCCAATCTGCCAAGGGGCACACTGGTTCCTTCCTAAATATTAACAATTGTTTATAATTATGTGTATATAAATGTAAATACTTGTTACATGTATTTATATATATATATTGGTATACATAATATATACATATCAAATCATACCAAACTATCTTCGAAAAATATCTATTTTGTAGAATTACTATATGGAGGTTTCCTACGTCATGGGGGTACCCTCAAAATCATCCCAGTCATGGATGACGATTTTAGTATTGAAACCCACGGTGACTTGGGGATCCCAAATTTTAAGAAACCCAAATGGGAAGGTCTGAGAAATGGGTTAAACCGGTGTACTCCAAATATATGGCAGCTGCAAAGGGGAAAATGATCATTGACAAATGGATTTAGGGATATTTAGGGTATTCCAATTTTCAGACAAACCCATCTCGGAAATAAAAGCCATATATTTCATTTGTCCCTTAGCTATACTGGTTGGTGGTTTTAACCATCTTGAAAAATATGATAGTCAATGGTTGGTGGATTACCCCCAGCATATTATGGAAAGTAAAAGAAATGCTTGAAACCACCAACCAGCATATATCATTTTGGTTGGTTCTGTGACTTCTGTGGCTTCGTCTTCGAGTCTCAACCATGCAAAATGGTGAAAAGATGATGGAGTGACTGAAATAAGGAACCATGGGTTCGCCTGAAATTGTTGAACACAGGGTGCGGTGCCCTAAATTTTGTATACAACATCCTCAGATTTCCTTGAATTGCAATTTTACGGGTATGCCCGGACTTTCAAAGAAACACATATGGGAATCAAAACCAACAGACATATGCTCTATGGTAACCCAACAACAAAGAGGTTTCAGGTTTAAAAAAATGGGTTCCGAATCGACAATAGGGAGGATTTTAATCAGCATGAACCGGTATTTAAACAACAAACTTATCTTTGGGGCAACAAGTCTTTAAACGATAGATTGGTATTGATGAGCAGCCTGATATTTTTCCCACCTGATAGTGGTGTGTGATGTACTGATCACCAAATTGGTTTGATGCCAGCTGCAATAGACTCATATGATCTCATTCTCCTGTTGTGATGTTTTACTGGGTCCATGACCCCAAAACTAGGATGCAACTAAGGCTGTCCAATGAGGGATCCCCCAAGATTGGTCATTTTGTGGAAGAGAATTACCCCATCTTCTTGGGTACAGCATTGGCCAAAGATTCCAGTTTCCATCTTTCCAGTTGCTAGTTGTCACCTTTTGCTGATAAACTACCGTTGTTTTCCGGTGACATTTCCCTTCTTGCTAGTAAAATCTCCGTGTTGGCTGCCAACTCTCCAATTCTTGCCCGACAATGCCTGGCTAAAATGGGATTATTGTCATCAATAAAAGAAGCAATGGCCACACCCAAGTCATGTCCTCACTCTATCCCCAGAATAGTTGGTTTCATATCAAGCATTCATATTCATTCATAGCAATCTTTGCTGCTCAAATCACGATTTTTCATGGTTAAATCATGTGAACTCTCTATCAACATTCATTTAAGACTTGGTGGTTCACCCTACTTGGCAAATTGGTTAAAATAATCACCCAAGTTATAAGTAGGATAAGTAGGGTGCGCCTTCGGTTTTTTTCTGGGGTGAACTGAGCCATTGGAGTCCTGGGTTCAGGTAGAGTATCCTGAAGGAAATCCTATCTCCATTTTATCCCTATTATAGTTGGTCAGCCTCCAGGAAAAAACGCATAGCCATAGATATTGGCCCATAGATGATTTACGTACTAAAAATTGTGATTTTCCAGTTCGCAAACTGTTAAATCATACTTGGTGAACCCCCCATTGTTGAGGAATCAACCAACAAACATAATTCCCCATGATATCTCCATTATTTGGGATTGTCCCACATTATCGCCATCGTTTGTCAGTGAAATTCCTATCCTTTGTGGCAGATTTATATCTGGTTAAATGATCATAATTCACTATCCTGAAAAGTTCGGCTATCTTGGGGATGATTATAGTGAGGGAGAACAGTTATATATGTATTTGTATTTCACCCTAGTCACAGTTTCGTGATCATCCCATGAAAAATCCCCTTGTTCTTGGGCCAAAATCACTACAGGAAGGGGCCCCTCAAGTTATAACTTGGTTTATGTCCCCATCTGACTGTAGTTATATCCCTGATAAAACCCTACTTCACCAGGTTGTAAGTCAACTTAGTCCACTGCGGGCCAGTATGGGGCCCTTTCCTGTAGTTTATATATGATAATTATGTATGGTTTTAGTTATATTGTATGTTTAATAGTATATATTATACTGGTTGGTGGTTTTAACCATCTTGAAAAATATGATACTCAATGGTTGGTGGATTATCCCATATATTATGGAAAAATATAATTCATGTTCCAAACCACCAACCAGATTCACAACCACCAACCTCTCCTATAGGTTTCCTATTTGTGAAACTTCCGCCACCGCCTTGTGCGGTACTACTGGTATATATCAACTATTATATATCATTATTAACCATATTATATATCATTATTAACAATTGTTAGCCATTATTGACCCATTACAATGCCCATTAATCACCATTAAATCACCATTAATCAATGGGAATTCCAGGATCCTAAAATGGAGGTACTGTACTATATAAGGCCATATTTTGTGGGGATATTCCCTTACATAGGCCTTATATATGGTCGGTACCTCCAATTTAGGATCCTGGAATGGCATGCCCAATGACTTATATATGGTCGGAACCAAAATCCGTGCCTCCTTGGTGCCCAGCAAGGCGAGCGCTCGAGGCAGCGTCAGGTCCATGGCGTCCAAACGGGACCCATGGGGTCAAAATTCCAGAGAGCAAGCGGTTTGTAAGCCATATATATATGTACAATACATATATATATATGTACAATATATATATATATGTACAATATATATATATATGTACAATATATATAATATAATATTATATATATATAACATGTGTGTGTATATATATATATATCAAATTCGTAGGGACCTACTTTTCTGTTTTTTTTGGATTAGTTATAACCCATTCAGATGCATATAATTGGGAAATCTCGTTTAGAACGTGTTTACTTCAGTTCTTTTTGTCACGCTTCATCCTAGACCCCCTGGAGAAACACATCGGCTTAGTATAATTCCCCATCTATGGAAACATCAGCCATCACCATGTTTTGTCTTTTCCATTCCTGGCAAACAATTGAATAACCTGCCAGATTAAAGTTGTCGCAACATCCAAGAGATCTGAAAGAGTGTGAATCTGACCTGCGATACTTCTATGCTATCTTTCGCTCGCTTTCCAGTGAAACCTTCCCAAAAACTAGAGCTATGTTTCGTGCTTTCACTTCCTGGGATCTGTACTTATGTGTGAACTTAAATCATGAAATCTCCAAGTTGTGACTCCAAACAAGAGCAGATCAGATTGCAAGGAGATGTTTGGAGATGTATAAATGTGCGAGGTCCCTGAATATGTAGACAAACTTCGAATTCAGCTTTAACCATTGCTGGACGTTGAGTTGCACAAAAGAAATGCGGCACATTCATTGGTTGGATACTGCGCTTGCGCGTATTGCTGGGAGATCAGCTATACCATCCGGGTGGGGTTTTGACTCATAGCCATATTAGCATGTGCATGTGCGCCGCTACCTGATGAAACAAAAACGGGTTTTAAATTCAACAAAACTGGATTGGTGAAGATCCCATTAACCATTCTATTCATTTTGGATCGTTTGGGATGTTTACCCTCTGGTAAGTAATTTGTTACAGTTTGCTATTTTTCAAATTGTGATTGAGAAATCGTGGATTTACCCAGCTATACAATGGTGGATCTTTCCATAGTTTTTTGTAAACGTTTACCAGGCCGGGTACCTTGTTCTTTATCCCCATGATCCCTGGCTGAACATTGCTAGCAGGGTGTCCTGGCTGGCCATGATCCCTGGCTGGTTAGCTGTTTTGTAGAATATCTAATGGGACATTAGCAACTGGGATAATTATACATATATTAGAATATCCCATTAGATACAATCATATCATATAATGGGATAATTATACATATCATATACAGATTTTTTTTTGAATATCTAAGAACTAGATATATTATCTAATGGGATATTCTAATAATTGTCTATCTAATACAGAATTGTGTATACCTTAGAACTAGAATATCTAATGGGATGCACCCCAATTACCTCGATCATACCCAGTGTTCGTCTCTATCATACATAAATTCTAGTCACAGCGACGAGGTCACAACTTGACGATTGAAACTAGGCAACGATCGGTAAACCTTGACGATCTGGATATCTATGAGACCATTACAATTGCTGCAAAAACAGCAAGTCAGCATGGTTTGCTACTATTGGGTTTACTCTATTTCACCGTTCACATCCAGGCTAATGTGATTTCAAAGTTCCAAATCCACTTCTGTTTCACAAAAAAGAGAAAACATAAATAATTTTCGCCAAACATTCAAAAAATCAAATTCTCTAAACCCTCGTTCCGTTGACTCGTGACATCCAGTTGAATCAGCTGCTTTTAAAAGCCGCGCCTTCTGCTTGATGGGGGCCTTCGGTAGGAATCTCCGAATCACCGTGGAGAGCAGTGGCAAGATGTCCTGAGTCCGGTGGATTTTTGGTGAACCATCCAGTAGATAGATTCTTAGATACAGTATTTCGCCAATCTGGTGGTGGATAGTATATGAAGCTGAAATGAGAATTATAATTATATAATACAATATATATATGTATACTATGTATATAATATGATACATTAGAAAGAAAACGAAACATGCGAAACATTTCAGGATATGAACCTGGAGATATTGGGATACGGATATCATGGGATGCAACAATATGATGCCATGTTGCTGGACAAATGATGCCATCATCCATAGGATGAATTGGGGTACCCACTTTGAGATAAAACGTGATAAAACCATATTTAAGGAAAATGCGAAGTCAATAATCGAGAAGCTTGCAATTCAAGCTTCACCTAACATATGAACATTTTAATGGTGTAAATCATGATCAACCGTGATATTTTTTCTCAAATAAACCCATTGGACAAGTGTGCTCTAAAAGGGCCACCATAGTGGGCCACCATGTAGCTTTCCTGGGAAAAATTGCCATGGCGCTGTATTGTGGTCTGCTGGAACGTTGGACATTGCAGGAAGAAGAAGCTCAACATGTGTTGTTCTGCTGTATTTACAGCTGAGAAACACATAGAGAGACGTATCTAGAGCATCTAGAGGCAAAGAGGGGGAACAAACAGAATGGTACGAGTAGCATGGCTTCTCTGACTTTCTCCAGTTCTTGGTGCAATTCACATCTCCCCATAATCATCATGTTTGCCATTCACCCTGCAACGTATACTTTTTGGTTAGTCTCACAATGGAAAATCACTATTCTCAATGGGTAAAACAACTATAAATGGCCATTTTCAATAGCAAACTGCTATTTTGCCAGAGGGAACTTCCTTTGTCATGCCTTGGCGGAAAGCACATCAGAATGTGGATGGGTGCTCTATACCCCTAGTGAACAGGTGAAAACCACAATACAACTAAAATAACTGGATCTTCATGCTCCCAAATATGGTATGCCCGGTAATCGCGCACCACCTAATGCTAAATTCGGCAACCTTCGAACGGGATAAATATGGTAAAACCGCTAAACGTCTGGACCTCAAGTACCAGGAAGTCACCTGAACGGTGTGGACGACGGCATCTGCTCTTGGATCCAATGCAGCGATCTGCCGAGCAATTTTTACAGAAGGTTGTGCTACTTGGGGGTGCATCCCAGTGGTGTGTATATATATATATTTATGATTATATATGTAAACACCATCTGAAATAAGCAAGTCTTGTTTTTTTTGGATATCCCAACTTGTGCATGGCTTATCTATACATATCATACATAGATTATAAACACTTATAAACTACTTACAATTAGTGGAATGTAGGAGCCAGGTGCCTCCCAAGCACCCAAAAAAGGGGGCCTCTGGGATGCCCAACCATAAAGTGCTGACCCTGCTCTGCAGGTTCCTCAATAATCTGCATCTTCCTGATGGTCGCTGCAGCACTGGTCCGAATCGTCCCCATGTTGGGGTCGCAAATTGATGGAGAAACTCCACCTGTCTCAACAAAAAAACCCTCCGATTTCGGGATGGCCATGTATGAAAATTGTGACCCGGTGACCGGGAAAGACTATCCATTGTGGAGGATTCAAGAATGATTTTTCCAAAGATATCCGTGATATTCCCAATCTGATTGGTGGTTCCAATGCCCATGAACAGTATTACACAAATCAATGGGGATTGTCCTCCCATTTGTTGGATGGACAATACAGAATATTTGGAACTACCAACCAGTTGACCCCTCTATATCATGTATCTACCATAACATTAAACCTAGGTAGAAAACGTCTTGGCCAAGTATCTAACAATATATCCAATAGATATTCCGCATATACTATCACCTCAACTTTCTGGCTGAATTATAATCTGGTTGGTGGTTTCAAGCCCTCTGAAAAATATTAGTCAGTTGGGATTATTATTCCCAACATATGGAAAAAAATGTTCCAAACCACAAACCAGTAATGATTCACTCAGCTAAAATTAATTGAAATAAGGCTGTTTGGGGGAGATGTCACCAATCCAGTTCCCATGGCAATGGCGACGTGAGTTAGTACCACTGATAACCCCTTATGGCACATTCAACCCCATTTGATCACCATTTGTGGGCTTCCCAAAAAATGACGCTACCCCAGTCGTCACTACTCATGGTCATCCATGACAACTGGATGATTTGGGGTACCTCCATGACTTGGGAAACCCTAACATTTATAGATGATTATTCGATATTTTCCTATATTTTCCTATATTTTCCTACATTTTCATACATTTCCTATTATTCATAGGATTTTTCAAGATTTTTCCATTAAATACTCAAGAACTTCGTGCCTGCCAATCCACTGGGCTTTCCCACCAACCGCCCTCCGTTCGCACCATGGCGGCCACGACGTCGACGCCGGCTTGGCTCCTGGACGTGGCTCGTTCACTCCATGGTGGAGAAGCGTTGCGGTGACATGGGGGGTTCCATAGCCATGGCGGTACCCCAATAGCTGGATGATTTACCCTCTGGTAAACTGTCACATAGCTATGGAAAATCACAATTTTTCACGGGAAAACTCACTATAAATGGTGATTTTCCATAGTTATGTTAAATTACCAGAGGGTATTTCATGGAAAATCCATCTATAACTTACTGGTGCGTTTTACGTAGGGTTGCTGGATGGGTTGCTGGGGGTTGCTGGGATTATTATTGATAGTTAGCCAGTGGATCATTCCATCATTCCCTACGTTTAGCACAAGTAGGTTAATGGTGAAACTCAAGTGATACATGGAATGAGGAATTTCATGGTGATTTAATGGGATCTCAATGGGATTAATGGTGATTTAGTGGTGACTAATGGTGATTTAGTGGTGATTTAATGGGTTCTCAATTGGATATTAACGGATATACACCCTCCAGTGATCATAATATGGGTGAATATCTGATTATTGTGCATTAATGGGATGATTTAAGGGGATGATTCATGGCATATTTAATGGGATGATGATGGGATGATACCTGCAAAGGTGTCATCAAGCATGGTGGATTAGGGTGGATTCTCCCAGCAAGCCACGCTTGATTACCCGAGGTGTCTGGAGGATAACACCTTTGAGGTGATGAAAACCTTACCATTTCTCAATGGATTCTGAAGAGTAATCATTGACGAAGCTCAAAAAAGGGGGCAATTTTGGGTCAGCCCTAGCACTACTACCATCTG